TCCGAACAAGCCGTTCCTCTAAACCGTCTGATTATGGATGATAAGCACTTGTGAAAGTGTGACATATCCCTAATCGAGACATCAGAACATGAAATGCCTCAACTATAAATGTGCAACCATTATCCGAAAGAATCTGCTCTAGACAAGAATGCTGGAACACCACTTGATTGAGGAGGAAGTATCCAACAACAGTTGCAAAGGTGCTAGCAAGAGCACCAACTTCCACCCAACGAGTCGAGTAGTCAAAAAAAATAATAACATACTCATTGCCAGCAATCGACCATGGAAAAGGTCCCATAAGATCAAATTCCACCAACTCAAATGGACGGGAAATTGTAATTGACTCCAACCATCCTTCCACAACACGAGGGGGAATATTACGAGTTTGGCACCAAACGCAGCTATGCACATACCGGATAACATCACGTCGCATCTTCGGCCAATAGAAAACCTGTGCAGCTTCTCAATTACACGATGATGTCCCATATGCCCACCTAGCAGTACAACTAATGAAGTTCTTCCATTTCACTAATGAAGTGACGGCAGCATGGTCACCTTCAAGTAATGTCCAAGAACCATATAGATATGCCTGAAGTTTCTCAAAACCCCAGAGTGTTGCTAAACACTCCTTCTCTATCGTGGAGTAGTTCATCTCCGCTAGTTGTAATGTATGGCTTATATACACAATGGGATGGCACTGACAAAGCACACTCAAGCTTTCTTGCATCAACACTCCTTCAACACCAATGTCAAAAGCATCCACGCGCAAAATAAAAGGTCGAGTATAGTCAGGATATGCCAAAACTGGAGGAGTCGTCAATAGCTCTTTGAGATCCATGAATGCCTACTGACAATCCGGAGACCAGATGAAAGATGATGTTGATGACTCTAGCAACGCTCGCAATGGTACAGTGCGATCAAAAAGATGATCCACAAAGCGACCGAGATATTGCACCTTGCCCAAAAAGCACTACACATCATTTACACACTTCAGAGTAGGGAACTTTAGAACAGCCACAAGTTTGTTAAGATCAATTTGCAAACCCTCACGAGCAATATAGTACCCAAGATAAGTTGTGTCCTTGGAACCAAACACGCACTTTGACCACTTCAGCTTTAAACTAACGTCCCGTAGCCAATCCAACACTTTACGAACATCACGAACATGCTCCTTCCACGTCCCCTCCGAGTGGATCAAGACATCATCAATGAAGTCAATAGTCACCTCCAGCATATCACAAAGGACCTCGTCCATCATCCGTTGAAAAGTTGCTAGATCATTGTTCAAACCAAACGGCATCACCAAGAACTCATACAGTCTAAACGGTATACAAAAAGTAGTCTAAGGAATATCTTCTTCTACTATTAGTACTTGCCAGTACCCAGAAGCAAGATCTAGCTTGGTGAACTAATGACTTCGCCTTAGACAATCCAAAAGATCAGCATTATGAAAAAGAGGGTACAAATTTAGGATCGTCACTTCGTTTAACAGATGATAGTCAATGCATAAACAAATACTCCCATCAGGCTTTGTCACAAGATAAGGTTCACATACCCAAGGACATTGCGACTTCCGAATAACACCCTTCTCTAACATTTCTTTAACATTTGCGCGTAAAATCTTGATCTCTTTGGGTGACCGACAACGAACAAGAACCTTGATTAAACGAGCATCCCCATTTGGAATCGGATGACGTGTGGCAATCTTGGCCCCAGATGATGTGTCAAAGTCAAAAAGATCAGAATACTCCTTCATAAGCTGGTCAACCGCTGCAACACAAAGATTGTTGAAGGGACTGGAAAAGGGAAGAGAAGAACAAGACAGAAACATAGGAGGAAATAATGAGGGAACAAAAGTAATGGAAGCAGAAGTAGAAATAGAGGGACGAAGAGGTACAAAAGTGAGAGGAATGGATGAAACATAAGGAAGTATGAGACAAGGGGGAGAAGCCTCAAAGTCACATTTAGCATGATTGCGCTGCAACCAATCCATACCAAGGATGAGGTTGAAAATTTGACTCGGCACCACCCGCAAGGATTGCAACTCAAGCTCAAGATCACCCACATGCACAACCAGGTCCGCCTTATCCCGTGCACATGCATGTGTACGGCTGTTGTCATAAAGAATGAAAACTAGTTATGCCACATGATGCAAGTGTAAACGGCAACTTGTGGCAATAGGTTGAGCAATAGAAGATAAACTCGAATCTGTATCAACCAATATAGAGAGAATAATAGGAGACCTCTTGTTATAAAAACGAGTTTGGAAAATAAACACTAAATGAACCAATGCCGAGTGAACCCCTTGATGATACTCCCGAAAGAAAGATGGAGGGGTCATTGAATTATTTGCGCAAGGTCCCTTCATTACTCGCGCAACTTTTCGTTTCCCAGATGCATTGTAGTGTCTAGACCTTCCACTACAGCAACACCAACAAGATGTTGTTGATGCCAAGGTCTCCACCTAGGAAATGGAAGTTGCCAATCCAAAAAACGCCAACAATGCCAATAGGTATGCCTAACTTCATCACATGCCTAACAACAAACGTCATGGCCACGACCACGTCCTTGCCATTGTCCTTGGACTTGAGCAGCAGCAGTACCAACCTCCATTGGAACAGAACCATCGCTTACAGGAAGAGGAGCAAAAGGATGGGCAGCAAGAAGTGGATGAGGCGACGTCTCATAATGTTGTGCCAAGCAAAAAACATCGTCAAGAGTTGCTGGAGCAAGTGCATGCATAAGTTCGACAAGATCTTGATGTAGTGCTAGCCACAACATTCCTAGCTTAATCCGCTCCGACATATTTGGCTCCGCACAAAGCAAAAGACTTCGAAAATGAAAGCCAAATTGCATCACCGACTCAGATGGCCTTTGGCGAAGATGATGTAATTGTTGGAAGGCATCATCACAATCGTCGACATGTCCAAATGTGCGTTTGAAGACGTCTGGGAGAACACTCCAATCCCCACAAGTGGCTGCACTCAAACCATTGTACCACTGCAACGCCATCCTTTGGAGACATGTGGGAAACTCATGCAAATGTCGAGTATCATCCCAAGAATGATATGTGGCAATCACTGTGAAGTGATTGAACCAATAGTACACATCATCCCTAGGATTCCCACGAAAAAACTCCAACAGAATGTGAGGATTGGCACCAAGAGCAGGAGAAGTTGTACCACGTGCCATGAATGCCACTATCAACTGAGTTTGGTTGTTCAATTGTAAGCACATAGCATTGTACCAACTACTGGAACAAAAAGGAAAGAGTGAAAGAAGAGGAATGACAAAAGCTAGAAGGAAATAGAGATCTAGACAATGCAAAAAGCTAAATCTAAACCAAAATCCTGAAGGGAAAAAACAAATGGAAATACCTAGATGTAAACCAAAATCCCAAATCCAAACAATCCTCAGGGATAATCAAAAGTGCACATCACCTCCACCAATGTGATTGCATGGAATATGAAAAAGAATATAGAAAATGTACATATCAATTAACCCATAAACCCTAGTTATATACAAGAGCGAG